ACATGCATCCTATTATAATCCGCTAAATTAATCCTCGAAATTAAAGCAACGTTAAATAACATCGAAAATAGATTTCCGTTAAATCTTGGTGGGAACAATAAAAAGATATTGCACTAAAGAGTATAAAAATAAATCCCTCTCTTAGTCTATTTTTAACGTTTGACATAATTTAAAGATTGAAACTCTAAGTAGAGTACTTAGAATTGCTGTGTCTCTTTTTTCAACTATAAATTTCTTCTCCTAACAGAATCATTTTCGATTCAGTAATCTTAGTAATTAATAATCATATTTTTCTCAAACTAATGCCCATTTGAGAGACATTGATTGAAAAATATAATTTTTACACCCGTTTGATGTAGTTTACTCGTAGTTTACTCCGTTGTATACCTGAAATTCCAATTAATGAAAAATCTATTTAGACGGAGAGATTGAAAAGATCTTCGATATTGAAAGTATCGTTATTCATTTTAATTTAGCATCCCTGGCCCGTATACTCTGTATACAGAACGTATACCGCGCAAATAAACGGTATTATGGTGCGCGTGACTGAAAAATATCCCCTAATTAAACTCGTCTCAATGCAAATTAGTGCGCACAGAAAATATTTATTAAAGTAATTAGTCATGCGGGGCAGTCTATATTTACGGTAGTCTCACGGCTCGCATTACAGTACGGCAGCAAAGGTTTTGCCGATGACAACGGTATAGCCGGTACGTGACAATTTTAGAACTTTGCGTTAGTCATGTTCACGTGTAGAGTATATAATTCTATTTAGCAGGACCAAAATTATTCTGCTTGATTGTATAGAATATGTTGTATCTTTCCTGTGTTTCGAACTTTTTTTATTTAAACAGATCAAAAATAAAATATAGAAGATATCATTTGAGACGTCTGGTTTATATAAACAACTCGACATAATAATCGTCAAATTAATTTATACCACTGCAAAGTACGCTTATATTTATGTGTTAGACATATTCTTTCTTTCTAAATATATTTGACTAAATACAACACCGTGCCACGTATCGATATATGAAAAACTACTGCTAAAACAATCGTCTTTCATTATTAAATGTCATTAAAGTGAATTTTGCATGAGCCCCATTAAACTTCTTGCCACACCGAGCACTCCGAATCGCGCGCGCGTAGCAATTTTATATCCCTCTAATACCTAGCTGGATCTAATATCTAGGTGGAGACTTTCGCAGACTTCAACTAGAACAACAATTTTCACGTTTATAAAAGAAGCAGCTCGGTTAATAGACGATTACGTTCATAAGCCGTTATTATTTTATCCTGCAATAAGTTCGACTATTCAACGGTTTGAATTGCAGTAATTAGAATGTATAACCACCGTCCTCTCCAAGTGTTTTTCCACATTCAAGAACTATTCGATAATATGATGCCTGTATTACTTTTAGATTGTAAAAACATCATGAAAAATCAATGCTAATTGTCATTAATAAACACAAAATTTCTTTTAAATTACATATCTTTTTGCTTACAGATATTTTAAGTTTTGTTAAATTTCGTAGTATATGCAAAATGTGCAAATAAAAACATTTATGAGATAAAAATAAAAAAAGTTGATGACACAGTCTCTTTTACTATAATATTAGAGATAGACTGTAAATGTCACTGATAGAAAAATGTCAGAATATCATTGACTTTCAGAACTGCTCGTCCCACCGACTTATTATATTGCAAAGTAGAACGGTCGTCAAAAAAACACGCAAAGTGCAGAAGACAACGAGAAATCTATGGGCAATTAGTGAACAAAAATTGTTCCGTCTGAATGAAATCGCTGATTAAATCAACTTCAAATTAACGATACGCGGTTGATCTGAAAATAATATACAAATTGTTTCCGAAAGCTATCGCGCTGTCGAGCGTCATCAGTATCTCCGCAGGCTTTGTTCACTTCTCATTGAAAAATACATCGAGAAACAATAGCCTGTGTCATTTTAAGAATCTCCTCCGGAAAGTTGTACATTGTGGCGTTATCTCATCTAACAATCTCCTTCCTTTCTTTAGACAAACTCATAATGCACAAGTCGCTTTACAATAGCATAAAGATTTGCGACTGGAAAAGCTTGCGTTTCCTTTAATAACGCTGCATCTCCGTCTCAATCGTCAAAACAAACGAATATTTCATTTTAAATACCGAAAGTGTAAAAAAAGAAGTGCAATTAAAAGGAAGCGCAGACTTGGAGAACCGCGGATCTCGCGGCACAAAGTTTAGTATAAATGTACAAGTAAATAATACGGACGTATATTTTGTACGTTAGCGTCGCACGTTTTCATTCGGGTAAGCCGATCCTCAATTTCGGAGCAAAACTGTGACGTAATTTTTTTCGCAAAACGTGATTTCATCTTTCGTAACGCCACACATCGCTCGAGCCGGAAGGGGGCCGCGACTTTAAAAAGCAGAACCGAGAGGGAACATCGTCCAGATAATGCGTACACAGTAAAATTTAATTACCCGACGGGATTTTATGAAGCTCGTCGCCGTTACTGCACGCAACCTGATGGGTACCTTCGTATTGGTTTCGGTAATGAGACACGGTCGAGAGAGGATAGGGGAAAAGGCGAAGAAATCGCGGGAATATCGCTCCGACCGGATTATAACAAAGTTGAAATATATAAACGCGCTGCGCGTAACTTTAACGGGGATTATCGAACTATGTTTTACGTGTATACCAGCGGCACGATGGCATGGAATGTCGTAATCGACATTATCCTTCGTAAAAAGGGCCGCTTTCGGGTTGGCCGGAACGGCATTAAGGCTTCTGTACACACAGACAATTTCTTTAATATCCAAAACGACCGACGACTGATTATCCGGCTTATTTATGCCCGTATGAAAAAATTATTTGGGGAAAAAGAGAAGCCATAGCCGGCTATATCCGCGCCACCGCCAGACGTTTCGACGGCTTGTAATACGTTCGCCTTTTTAAGCGAGGGTCCCTTCTCCCGCTAACAAGATCGTAACGCGCCGATATGGACGATCGGCTGAAATTCCTACCTCTCTCCGAGATGCCGATAGGATGGAGGGCCGAGAAACGAAGGACGGAAAGATCACGCCGGGAATACCTGCGGGACGTTCCCTCGTACGTAGAGGATTTAAGAAACCGAAGTGCTATCTGCGAAAGCTCGATCGAACGCGCAATAAAAAGTGCAATAAAAGCACTTCGCGACGAATTCGGTCGACGGTTTCTCTCGACCGATCGCGTTTCCACTCGCACCGGCTCCTTCATAGGGCGTCTTCTGGGTTTCCCGCACTCCCTTTCGCCTACATCTTCGATCAATTTGCAGTGAACTTTCCCTTGACAAAACTCGGAGAGCAGGAATATTTTTCGAGTTATCAGCGACTGAAATTTGAGAAATTGTATGTGGCTTGTACTTCTAAGAGCGTAATAAATATTGTCGTGTGTGAGGGGGGAGCTACGTAATTTCTTTAATATAATTTATCCGATATCGCGAAACCAAGTAGTAATGTGCGCAGATACGTAAATATTTTTAAGCAACAGACAGCAAGCAGACTGAGTAGGTATCTCTTCGAAGGTTAAAATGTAACTGCAGATATGCTCATTTCTAACATTATTTTAATAAATTGGCTTGAATATCGCGAACTCCCGTGAGAAACTGCATTTTAAAGCATCAAATGGCAAGGAGCAAATAATGGGCATCGCTGATGAGCTTTTACTACGAGTACTTCCATATTTACTTAAGTTTTCAACCCCAGTTTCACGAAATCGAATTTTATTAAAGCTCCGTTCGCGCTCGTATCGCGAATACCGTATATGCTTTTCCCATGGCCGCTTTTTATCCGCAGTATTATACTCGTGTTTTCTATGGCAATTCAATCTTCACGAGAATACAGAATGGTTTTTATGCCATTAGAGAATCAATATTACTCATGTAATTTAATTCATTTTAATATAAATTCATTTTCATACGTTTGCAAGGTATAGTATTTAATATTAATAGCTAGAAAATGTTGTGTGACGTCAACAACAGTGGTATTCTATTAAATTTATCGAAAAAGGCAACCTAAATTTACCGAGGAGTTTATTACCGTCAGTCACCATCATTGTACAAAATTAATGGCGGGATGATGTCCCGTGTATATGTTACGGTAACGTAAATTCACTAGTGGAAGTATCGCGTTACAAAAGATACTCGCGTTACACCTGCTTAAGTACCTAAGCAACGCTCCTTAAATTATGCAAATATACATCACGGCAAAACGTCGCGTCGGCGGTGAATTTTATCCGCTACACTCGAGTTTGCGCCGAATAGTCCGAAATATGAAGCTAATGCTAATGCGCCCGAGGGAGAAATTTGTTAATTTAGTATTTTGTTTCATCGCATTATTCTTGATTGTTTTGCGTTATGCCCGTTCTAGACTGGAGGATGAGCCGACTCTCGGCTCATCCGACTACGATCGTCCGTCTACACTGCACAATTTTAAGTTGTTTAGGTTGGTACGATTGAGAGCTAAATAACTTCAGTATGTATATATAAGAAACTGTCAACGAGAGAAATGGTAAAAGCAAGGAAAAAAAAGATTTTGGTATATAAAAAAACTACTTTTTTTTCTTGTTCTACAGAGTCAGCATTATCAATAAAATGTGTACATTTTTTATGTGTTTAGGAAGTAAAAACAAGATGTGTTTCATTTAACGAAGAAGAAATTTTTAATTTAATATCAATATATTCTCTGCCAGCAATACAAAATGAGTTTAAAAAAAGTAAAAGGCATTCATTGATATACGAAAAAATCGCTACTCTCCATAACATGTCAGAAGAGTATTGCAGAAATGCAAAAGATATTCAAACTAAAATAAAAAATTTAAGATCTGAATATATAAAAAAGAAACCCAAATTAGGTAATAAATCAGCTGTACTACTTATTAAACAACTCATTTATAATATTTATATAATAATTTATATAATATTTATAATATTTATAATATTTATTTACTATAACTGTTTAATGTTATTATGTATAGGAGGTACACTACCTGATGATTTTCCATTTTATGATGTTTTACATAAGCTGTGGAGTGAAAAAGATATATTTAATGATGAACTTCTTGATGATTCAATGGTTGATGATAATTCTGATGGTATATTAATAATAATTTTTTAAGGATTTTTACCTTGTGTCGTTCATTTATTGTTGTTTAACATTTGGTGTCACCGAATGTTAAACAAGGATAAATGAACGACATCTGTAGAATGTCCGCTATTATTTTCAGGCGAGTAATCAAATTCTACATCTTTTAATAATTCTTCACCTTCGGGATCTTCATTGCTGCTGTTATCTAAAATATTGTATTTTATTAGAAATAATGTCATCCTTATTTATTGTAATACAGAAAAATTATTACACAAGGTAAAAATCCTTAAAAAATTATTATTAATATACCATCAGAATTATCATCAACCATTGAATCATCAAGAAGTTCATCATTAAATATATCTTTTTCACTCCACAGCTTATGTAAAACATCATAAAATGGAAAATCATCAGGTGGTGTACCTCCTATACATAATAACATTAAACAGTTATAGTAAATAAATATTATAAATATTATATAAATTATTATATAAATATTATAAATGAGTTGTTTAATAAGTAGTACAGCTGATTTATTACCTGATTTGGGTTTCTTTTTTATATATTCAGATCTTAAATTTTTTATTTTAGTTTGAATATCTTTTGCATTTCTGCAATACTCTTCTGACATGTTATGGAGAGTAGCGATTTTTTCGTATATCAATGAATGCCTTTTACTTTTTTTAAACTCATTTTGTATTGCTGGCAGAGAATATATTGATATTAAATTAAAAATTTCTTCTTCGTCAAATGAAACACATCTTGTTTTTACTTCCTAAACACATAAAAAATGTACACATTTTATTGATAATGCTGACTCTGTAGAACAAGAAAAAAAAGTAGTTTTTTTACATACCAAAATCTTTTTTTTCCTTGCTTTTACCATTTCTCTCGTTGACAGTTTCTTATTTTTGGATTCCACTTGTAAATATTACTTCAAACACTTTTAATTGGTACGATTGAAAGCTAACTTCAGAAGTCTTTAGTATGACTTTTATCCGTCTACACCACTCACTCGGATGAGCCGAGAGTCGGCTCATCCTCCAGTCTAGAACGGGCATTAGCAATGTATATGATATACAATTACATAATGAAGTTAAAAGACAAAAATCTATGTTGATATCGCCGTTGACTGACAGTGTCATCATTAACTGTAATACGCACTTATTGAAATAACGAACGATTTTAAAATAATCTCGATCAACTAATTAAAATTTAATTCATGGTTCTTTCAAGAATGGCTTTTGCATTATCCCTCTTTACTTTACAAAATCATGAGAGACGAAGGGAAACCATAGCCATTACGAACATCCTATAATATAGATCGAACGTTGTTAACATAGATTATCCGTCAAAAGATGGTTCCCGTAGCTTACAAAAGGACTATGCAAGCTATATCGCATTTAAATCCTCGTATATATCGATCCTCGTATATTAATCCAGCATATCTTAATTCAATTCGAGAAAAGATTAGGATTATTATTACAAAAAATTACAATTCTTTTTCGTGAGAAAAAGAAGAGACAAAACACGCGCAAGAAAGTTAAACGTAGAATCAACGTTTGCCAAATTTTTTGTATATAAATATTCCTTTTGCGGCTAGAACATTTATCTAGCTTAGAAAATTGGTACAATATAGGAGCCACGTGACTTGTGACAGCCTTTATGAGATACCCCGTACACAAATAATATAAGCTACGGTACACATAGGCAAACGTACGCTCATGGGAAAAGAGAAGACAGAAGGGAAAAGGAGAGAAAAAGAGAAAATGCGTCGCGCATCTACATAAATTCTTTACTGCTACGTGCATCGCATATTTCCGATATTCTTGCGCAGCGTGTTGTAAGCTTTCAGAACTTTAAAGAAACATTTTCTACTATGATCCGTATAAAGCTATCTCGCGCATCTGATAAACTGTTGCTGGTAACAAACGATGCCTGTTACAGATAGTGTAATAAATAACGGCTGTATAAAAAAAAAAGATATTTGTTGCAAACTTGCTTATCGTCTAAAATCTGGCATTTCGCTTTTTCCATCATATTTCGCTCGAGCCGCGCAAACACGCGGAATGTTTTAATTTTATTCTACACAGGATATCCCCTTTTAATTTTATTCTATGCACGATATGCCCCGAATCTCACAATAAGTCCCTCCAATTCTAATTCTACATATTTATATTAAAATTTCTGTAACCTCGCAAGTGTATCGACGTTCAGGAAGAGTCTTGCGGAGAGCCATGAATGTGCAGTGACCGATCTTTCCGCGAGTCGAATCGCGAAACGAACGCCGTCGCTCGCGAAAGGAAAAGACGACCCGCGAGCCGACCCGAGATCTCTTCCGGGCTGTCGATACGGCGATTCGCCTCGCGCTCCTCTCTCAGTGACGTGTGCCGCGTTTGCTTTAGTTCCGGGATGCATACACGAGAAAGAGAAAGAGAGAGAGAGCCAGAGAGCGTCTATGTGTGCAGACAAGGTTTTATTAACCCTCTCGCGTACACCGTTCGCCGCGTATGTATACGGGAACACGGTGCATCGGCTACGAGTTACTCTCCCTCTCTCTTTCTCTCTTTCTTTCCTCTCTGCTCGATGTACAAACGTGTATAAAGCACACGGCGCGCGTTCTGTGTACTTGCAATCGATCGTTGGCGCGTTGCCACCAGCCATAGCGCGTTTCTTCCCGTCTCTCTTCTTCCTTATCACCATACTATCGCCGTCCGTGTATCTTTTCGGCATGTCCCTTTCTCCCTGTTTCTGTCTCTCTCTCTCTCTCTTGCTCGTCTCATCCGGCACACAGCGCGTTCGCACATACCTTTCCCACGACCTATAAATTCGCTCTCGATGATATTGTTCCGTGAGCATCGCTTCGTATCGCATCGAATCGCGTCGTAGTGGCGCTCAGATAAGAACCGTTCGGAGACACCCGGTATTACGACGGGTATAATCGTTACGATATAAGCGCGAGATTGGATTTCGTTGCTGGGTGGCGAGAAACGAGGGATGCGTGGCTGTTTGACCTTTAAATTGCCCTCGTAATGGATAATTTATTGATATCCCTTTTAGCGGCGAGCGCTATACTTCCGGCGAATCTCGCCCACACGACGTGATAAGAACGATAAAGATTAAGAACCTAATACATAAGTACGAGATCCCTTAAAGTTGAACTAAGGTTCAGTATGTTATAATATACGTGGTTGCGTTATCGAAATTATTCATTTGAGAAATATATTTATAAAGATAAATATCTTTAAGTAAATTTTAGTAAAACAGAGAAGTCGAATATATTTTTGAAATTTTTAGAAAGTTTTAACTCAGAAAAAGCAAAGGTACTGAAACTCGAAATGATATCGCAAGCTACGTTGCGAAAAATTCGCAAAAATTCGTATCTTTGCATGGGATAAAATTTTATTTGGCGTAATGTTGCTGCAAAAAGACCTGCGGTTTTGAAAAGAATCTTCTAAAATGTTTCGATTCGTACATTGTGATTAGAGAACATACAATTTTTATAATTAATATAGAAATTAAAATATATAATATTATAGTTTATAGCACATATTGCGTTGTTATAGGTACAATTTATAAAAATATTACGAATACGCTTGAAAAATTAAATCGAATATTCATTGATTTTTTGCGTATTTCAATATTATTGTACATCTCACTAAATTTTTTTTCCTGGTTTTACTGTTCCATGAAATATATACAATTTCATCATATCCCATTTTTTTATAGTAAAAAGCAAATTCTAATAAAAGAACATATTAATTTTTACTGCAGGAGAGGTCTTGATCTTAAACGTCAAAGATATTGATTAAACGTATTGTTTTTAATATCGCGATTGCTCAAGAATAAAAAATACACAACTGCAAATGCTCTGCGTCGGCGGAAAACTGGCGTATCGATATTCAAGGCACTTCGCACGGATGATTTCAATATTATTGGAATCTAATGCTTTAAGCCGACGGATGCACGTGAATTTCGATAAAAACGGAGTTTGCGAAGTTAACTTTGTGTTCCCCGCGTGGTAGCGAAATTGCTGCGCTCTTCACGGGCGAATAAAACAACGGATATCTGATAAAATCGTTTAGTCTATAGGCTGATTTTTTCCGCCGCTGCCGACGGAGGCAATTGCGCAAATTATACGGGCTGGCTGATAAATACGCAAATGCCGCACGATAAATCGGAAAACTCCATATATAATCTAAAGCGCGGAAACATTCCTCGGATTTCTCTATTTTACATGCCTGATATAAAAAAATTCGTCCTCGAAAATTACTGGTCGTATAATAAAAGAGCTCATTCAATCGTGCAAATCCATAATCGTTTATATTTATATTTAAAAAAAGTAATGCAAAATAACGCACCATAAAGATAATAAATATAATTAATAGTGTTGGAGATAGGGAAATGATCATCCACAAACAATGAAATTATAAAAGAATCCAACCACTTTTGGCGAATTATGAAAAAAAATTTAATTAATCGTCGTGAAATGCATTTATGATTAATACTTGATTTTCACCGTGAAAAATAAAATAACTGTCGTCAATAATTGAATGCTGTCGACTGACGGCTATAATGAACTTTAAATTAATTATGCGCATTCGAGATTAATCGACGCGTGGAAAGATAAAGCGAATCCTTTTATCCCGGCGCGGATCTGTATTTTATCATTCTTATTGATTTTCGTTCAGGCAAGATTAATATGAACCATTTATTTCGAAGGGAGTATAAATCAAACTTTGGAACATTGAATTTGCATACGGCAGGGGCGGGCAGGGGTTACAAGTAGATGTAGCATGTGTAAAAAAGATTCTCAAAATTTAATTCAGACCAATATATAAAAAAGACCGATTTGTGTATATGCTGTTATAAAACTGCCAACCAACCCTTCACTACATATACTGACGCGATTGGTAAAATGTCATGCAAAATGTTATAAAATTCAGGAATATTATCAAAAATAAGATATATCAAACATTAATAGAGAAATAAGATTAAAATAAATAAAATGCTCTTTACATACATTTTGCACATATTAATTGGATATAATCTGGTTCATGAATTAACGCATTCAACGATAAATATATTTGCAAAACTATCCATCTATATGGTTTTGTACGTCACAAGTATTATCAGCAAGTGGTATGACACACACACACACGCACACGCTCATACATACACACATACACACACATGGGTAAGAAGGCATCAAAGAGCAACTGACGTGACATATTTCAATTAAATCTATGCCTAGTCGACTATTTGTACGGGAATTCTATCAAAAAATTGCGACTGTTTCCCCTGCAGTCTGTCATTCCTCTTCCCCTTTAATCAACCGCCACGCGACAGCACAGTTGCTATGACGACTTTTGATTGAAGTAGCATTTTAAATTGGCTTTGTGCAATCGCACTTAACGAACGTTTTACAGTGTTCCCATTCATCGCAACAAAGAAAGACAGAGAGTTTAGAGTTTAATATAATGGGTATTAGCGATATTATACGAGCGGGCTGCTAGAAGGGGTTGGAATAAGTAGCGACCGCTCCCGAGGGTGCCCAGCTGTTCGAGCTAGGAAAGGGTTTCGAAGGCGACGAGGAGGGTTGATCGGTTGGCGGGTTTGAAAGAACCGGAGAAAAATCCTTTTTTCCGCGTCAAACTTTGGATTTCGCCAAAGGTGCGGTGGTGGCTACGGTGAAGTTTCTTCCCCTATTTCTCAACCTGTTGAACCACTCTTTACGTGACCCCCCCCCCCTATTTCCTAACCGACATAACGCACGATTTGTTTTTTCGCGGTGTTACCGCATATTCGATATTCCAGCGATCTTGCGACGATGAATTTTGTGGTTTACATAAAGAGAAATTATACGAGGAATCATACTTTAAAATAATTTTTATAAGTCGATTTCCAGTTATACCTCCTTTAAGTTTTTTGCAATGATACTTTCCTAAAAAAAGTAAGATATTATAAGATGTATCGTTCCCAAAGTGCAAGTTTTGCCTAAACATTGTCGGCGGAGGAACGACGTTGAATTTCTCCCGCGAGATAATGTCGATGCGTG